AAAATGTGTCTTTGCATCAAGGATAGATTTTTCCTTGAATCTTGCATGTGCCTTTGTATACAACCGTGTTTAAAAACGGAGTCTTAGTGTCAAATGGTTCGGCCGTGGATTAATAGTTGGGTGATGTAAATTTGCTTGTTCAATGAAGGCTTCGATGTCTGGTTTACTCATGTCCCATAAGGAAAAGATATCGTGTATGTAGCATTTCCAAACTGTTGTTCTAAAGACGGTTTTGCTTAGGGTTGTTGTTTCAATATATGCCATGAAAATGTTGGCAAAGGTATCAAAACTGCTGTCTTTGTGCCAATTGCAGTTTCATGGTTTTGTAGGTAGTGCTTTCCATTAAAGTAGAAGAAATTTTCTTTGAGGATTAATCTAAGCACTGCCGGCAAGTAATGTGTAGTAATGTGTAGTAATGTGGGTTGTCTATGTAGAAGTTTTCATATGCTTTGTGACAGACATATTCAATTTAGTATATACACACTCAGTGATCTTGGTGATTTCAGCCATCTGATTGGTTCGCTATCTCGGACTATTCGACAATATTAACCTCCTAGGGAGTGGATAAAGTGTGAGCTCGGTTTTTTTCCCATTGTCTTCGAAAAAGATCTTTTAAAAGTCGACAGAATCCTAGGGTTGTCTTTTTTCAGGCAAGAAAAGACTTTGAAGGATTTAAAACGGCGTTTTTCCATTTACTGTAGTTGAGTTTTGTGGTCGATGGATTGTTTACAACTCCCGTTTATTCGCCTTTTAAGAAGAGGCGGTTTCCTGAACTCAGCGTTTTCCAACGAGAAAAATTTGGCCCAAAAACGAAGTTTATTTATGACAAACAAATTTGAAAGCAAATGTTTGCAGAAAGCCTACGTTTCAAGTAAAGAGGAGAAAGAATGCTACATGAAGACGACGTCTTACCTCGAGGAACCGAATCGCCATTTTTCTCAGCACTTCATGCGAAGAACGACACAACAAACCTTTTCGGTTATAAACTTGGCGAGTCAACAGAAAACAACAAAGCTCTTCTTTTCTTCTCAGGTAAGGAAACAATTCAAACTTTTAGCGGTTCCATGTAAGGTCATTACCAGGTCATTACGCTGTTTGCGAAGTGAAAAGCTTGTGAATTGCCATGTTTGGAAATTCTACAAAGCTCTATTTTTAAACTTTCGCGTGTCTAGCTGACCAGACTCTGATCTGTCAATCAAATCGTACTTTTTAATGGTTTCCTCTCTGATTTTGCTGAGATCACTTCGTGTGTATACACTAAAACAATTATTCTTTTCAATCTCGGTGAATAGTGGCTTTAGGAATATTTACCTCGCCACTTTGTGGCTCGGTAAATATTTAGCCACTATTCACCTCGATTTCAAAGAATAATTGTTAAATACCCTCGTCTTGCTTTTATATTTGTGTCAAGACTCATAATGTCCATCGAAACAAGAAATGTTCGCTTTTTCACATTTGTCTTTTCAGTGAAAAGTATGATTTCTGTGATTTTGATTTTGGTTGTAGCAGTGTATCAACAAATTTTGTCACGCACAGAACAAGGTTTTATTGGATTATTAACCGGAAACCAACCTTGCTTTTGTGGTGGGTCAGTCATTTTTGTACCGAAGGAAGGGGGTGGGCCATGTTTTTTTTATCAACCACATTTCCAAATGCTCCAGCATACTTTTTTACCAGTCCCTAATATTCCCCTTGATTCCACAACCTCAATTTTCATGGATTTAAAGTTTTTAAAAGCAAAAATATCCCGGATATTCTTGCTGGAACCGGGACTCCTTTACATGGGGTGACAAGACAGTCTTGGATTCTTCCAAGTCTGGGATTTTAAAATTTATAGCGTCCGTTTGCACGTAGCTAAAATTTTGACCGCTTTCATACGTTGCGCAACAACATGCAACAGGGTGTGCAAACGGAAGCAACACAGTGTAACCTCCAACAATGTTGGGAGTTGTTGGCCAACATTGTTGCGTCTGTTTCCGCCTGAGCTAGGTGCAAACGGACGCAACAACAATGTTGGGACTTGTTGCGTCCGTGTTGGTATTGGTGTGTAAACATATGCATCAACTCCCAACAATGTTGGGACCTACTGCGCATCTTAGGAAGGATGCAACCCACAAGACTAATTTGCCATGTGTAATGCGCGAGCGTGGCCCCTACAGTGTTGGAAGAGTTGAGCAAACGGATCCAATATTGTTGCACTACGCTTCAGTGATCACGGAAGTCAAAACTTTGACCGGTTTTGAAAATTTGGGCATCAACTCTCAACAACACGCACCTACATGCAACAGGGTGTGCAAACCGACTCAACCACTGTGACGTCAACAATGTTGCGTCCGTTTGCACTTTGCACGGGGCGTTAAAATACCTATGCTATGGTCCCTTCTAAGTCTGACTGCCATCTTAGCTAGCCTTGCGAGAGTGCAATTCAGGTACTTACAAAGGCATCAAGAAGCTTCCTGGTGGGGGCAACGCCGATTCTTCTTACGAAGGAAAACTGCAAGAAATGTGCATTCATGGAAACGGGAGTCAATTCTAAAACAGCTTGACTTTTACTTATTACTCTGTGGAAAATCTCTTCCTTCTCTCTTGCCTCGTGTGGGTAAAAATAGAATAAACAACCAAACTACTGAACGTAAGACACACTAAATTTCTAGGTGTTTATGTCGATGAAAATTTAAATTGGAAAGAACGTGCTAACTTAATTGCTAATAAGGTCTATAAATCTGTTCATGACAAAAGCCAGATTCTACCTTTCTATGCCATCGTTGCGTACTCTATATTTTGCTCTTGTCTATCCTTACTTTCAATATGGAACAATTGTTTGGGGGTCTATTTACCTACCTTGAATAGACTTGTTGTGTTTCAAAAACGTATCATAAGAGTAATCACTAAGTCCTGTTTTGATGCCCCCAGTGCTCCATTATTCCATGAGCATGAAATTCTTAATATGACCAATATTTGTATAGGTAATAGCATGATTCGTAGTGATATTTGGCTTTAATACCACGAGTGATATTTCGAAATTTGAGACAATTTTGAAATATCACGAGTGGTATTTATGCCAAAGATCACGTACAAATCATGCTATTATTTGTTTATACTACTACCCACAAAAGGTTTGTAATTTTCACCTGTAGGTGTTTCAAATTAAGCTGAAATACCACACTGTTCTCAGCCGATCAAATTGCAGAAATGTCTCATGTAGTAGTATAAATATGCTAACGATCGGCTTGTTCATGTTTTCTTTCAAAAATAAAGTACTTCCAGTAGGCCGTAGCATATCAAGGCCCAAAGTTTTGGAATAACCCTCCCTACTGCTGACTCAAAGACGAATCTTCAAAAATGTCTTTAAAAAGAACTTACATAAATTTTTAGTTCAACAGGCTAAATCATTTCCATTAATTGTTGATTAATAATTTCTTGTATAGCCTAGTTTTTTTTCTTTTCCTCTTTTCCTGCTTAATTTTAATCATTGGAATAAATTTTTAGACTATTAACTGGAATATTTTTTTCCTTAAGACAATTTGAATCAACAATTAGATCCCAAATTAATTTGATATTGTCAAGAGTCATGATGGCTAGCTCTTGATATTGTTGATTGATAATTATACCTCTTAACCTTATTATTGACTTACTACCTTTACTTAATTTATTCTTCTTTGTCATTTATGTATACTTAAAAAGCTTTGAATTTGTTTGTAAATGGTAGCCTGAATAAAATAAATAATAAGCCCCTTGGCTCTTTATTTGCTGCCCTGCCACTTTTGGTAGTAATCTGATCAACCAATCAATCAATCAATAAATATACTTAGGCTATAAAAAAAAGTTTCGTAAAAAGGAATGTAAGTTTCGTGAGTTAAGATTACTTACATACAATCTATTCTCGGAGTTGGCAATAATGCCCATGATTCCTGTGAAAATCATCTGCAAGAAATCGAGATCAAAATGAATAAATGAATAAATAGATACATAAATAATAATAATAATAATAATAATAATATAATAATAATAGTAATAATAATAATATAATAATAATATTATTATTATTATTATTATTATTATTATTTTAAGCAGTTTGTTTCTTAAAAGAATATTCCCTCCTGTCTCAGTCTTTTTTCTAATCACGGTAAATTCGTCTCGGTCTGATAATAGATAAGTCACATAAAGGTTTGTTATGTGCATAAATGGTGTTAATGAAAATGCAAAATACGTACAGCGGGAATGCTCCACAAATAAAACTAACTTTGTCGGGTTTTAAGTCATGTTTGTCACTATAAACCGGGTATTTTATACGAAATCGTCGGGCCCAATCAACTGAATCAACATATAAAATATACACTAAAGAATAAAATGACATCCATGTGAATTTATACTGAACTTTGTATTCCTGCCCTCGGTGTGATAATCACATGTATCTTACAGTTAACACATACAAAAAAAATCAAGAAGCAAATACGTTTGCTTGAGGCCAAATATAGCTAATAAGTGGCATGGGAATTTTCCATAGTTTTACGGAGCTTTTTTGTTAATATACTTATCTTATCACTCGGGCTCTGTTTTTAAAGAAATCAGAATTATGCTAGTGATTAGTTGCTGGAAACAGTTCGTCTCTTTTTGAAAAGGTAGAGTTTTCAACCACTGTTACTGCGCAAGTTCCTTGTATTTTCCTTGTGTAAAACATCCAGTTGTCGTGTCCAATTAGGGCAAAATCGGAGTTACAGTCTCTTTGGTACAAAACAGTTTGGAATTGAGTACAAACATTAACCACAAAGGACTGCAAAGGACCGCAAACGAACATGCCGAACGTAGGATATACAAAGACCTGATCAGCAAAAATAAGAAGAAGACATATTAAATTCTGCGAGCAGAATACTGCAATGCTGATCGTACTACGTGAAAATTAACTTTGCAAGACATCAACACGACACCGAAAGAACTCAAACAGAGCGGGATTGTAGCCATAGACAGCCGTTTCGGCCTTTTTGGGGCCATAGGCGTACGGGAAATTTTTTGCCAGGGGGGGCGGTAAACCATTTGCCAAAAAAAAATGTCGCAAGTTGCCCAAATTTTTACGAAGGAGTCGAAAAGAAATGAGGGCCATATTACAACAACATATGCCGTCCTGGCATATGAAGGTGGCTCGATACGGTTTTTCAGGGTCAATACCAAGTCTGAGCATAAACTACGTCGCCATAAACAAACATTTGGAAAAATTGCGACCACGGTTGTATTAAGATGAAAATTTGTCATCATCAGGGTTGCAATGACATTGGAGTCGTCATAACAACGAAATGACTCCCCCCCATTACCTATTTTACTTCAGCAATGATTCCCTGCACGGCAACCTTGCAAAATCGTTCACAGGAGGTTTTTTCTCCAATACGGTCGCCACGCGTTCGTGAAGTTTAAGCAAAACCTTAAGAGCGTTATCGAGATATTTTGGAATGAAGTTTTTATTATTAGAAATATGGTGAGGAAAGGAAAATCTTGATGTTTGGCCGTTATCTGAAGAAAACGAAGCGCTTTTGACCTGCAATTTCACCTCATAGCAGTTTTAAACCTTTTAAAAACATGTGTGAAGATCATGGAGATAGCTCTGCTTGATTGCTAGAATCGAAAAAAGGATTTGATTAGTATGTATCGAGACACTCTTGTTAGCGGTTTTGTATACATTTCGGTCTACTTTAACAAATTAGCGAATAATTTTAAACAACTCGATAGATTTTTAAAAAAAATTAAGATTCTTCTCGTAATTCAAACTGAGAATTAGTCAGCCACTTCTTCATTTTCATAACCATTGTTAAATGCTATCTGCCATACTCTGCTCTTCGAGTGGAGATGATTCTAGAAAGTTATGCGAAAGTTTATTTTAATCAATTCACGACTGGAAATAGCCCATTCCAGCTAGTGCAGCGGCAGTATAGTGCCCAACAAAAAAAACTGCAAATATGTAAATTACTCATCACATGCTAGGCAACCACTGTAATGTAACTGGATTATTACGCCGACTTCAGGTTAATATTCAGGTCTTTAAAATAATTAAATAAACATGGAGACGTCTTTAAAAACTGGCTTTGCCCAAATTTTCTCTCGCTGCCCAAAAAATCTGAGTTGCCCAAAATTAGGGGGGGCTGCAGCCCCCCTCGCCTCCCGGCCCGTACGCCTATGTTTGGGGCTCGTCAGTATGGTGTAAACAACCGGGTAAGCTCTGATGAAAAATATCCGCGCAGTCTGATTTAAGCCCTAGCCTATAAAACCCTCAACACCCACAGAATCACGCCATACCACGTGTCTTCTGGCGAAAATAAAGGATTAGCTAAAACCAACGTCAAAAACATGGACAGAACCATGCAAAAATTACAGCATATCGGATCTATAAAAGATCTACGGCCCCAAAATACATCATGTAATGACAAACATTAACCACACAGGACTGCAAATGACCGCAAACGAATATGCCGAACGTAGGATCACGTGATACTATCATCTTTACAGTATTCTGCTTGCAGAATTAATACGGTCTACTTGGAATTGACTTTGCCATAGCCCCTGGCTACCCGACTCAAGTACTAGCTTAGCTTTTTGGCGTTGCAATGGCGGTCATTTTACTTCCGGGTTTCATTCATACTTTTCGCGGTGGTTGTAAAGTTCTTTCTGTATATAAAGAAAGCTGTTTGGCGTTCTTTACTTCCACAACACGTTTGCAAGAACAGATCTTGACTGATCTTATAAATCAAGCTGGGACAATAATTCTAAATAAATTCAGACTGATAAATACGCAAAATTTATCATCAATTACTTAAGCACATGTATGAAAGTTAAGGCTGTATGTCAAAACTCGATTATCTCAGTAGGGATTTTCTTTAATTTCTCCCTAAATTTGAGAAGATGAGATCGTGTAGATGCTGCGACTAGATTCACAATACCTTACCCATATCCCGACCCAGATACCAGCATAGAAAGAATCCAGCCACAGATATTTCATTTGAAGAATAACTTGAACAGCTCCACATAGCATCATGAAAGCCCCCAACATAATATGCGCAAGAGACAGGCAAAATATCTTGGATGATACTACTGGCATGATGAAATTCAACTCGTAAAAGTAAGAACCTTACTGATGTGTCTCGGGCTGTGAATAATTCTACTCGACCACGGAGAACTGCGTGTCGTAGTGTTGTCCCTTCGTCGCGGTTAATTGTCAGCTGGTATACTTTAAACTTGATATATCCTGTAGACTAAGTATCAATTTCGCACATTCCATTCAGAGGGTAAAGACAGTAAACTCTAAAGCCGCTCTCCTTTCAACTTAGTCCAACTCAAGTAGCCTTTAAAAATGCACTCCAATGCCCAAAGTTATCGAAAGGTGAAGCAGGTTAAGGTACAGGAGTGTCCTTGTAAATACAGGGCAACTCATTTTAACGTGATTATCTTATATCTTCCCGATGGAAGACGGAGAGAAGAGAAAGGTCCACCTGATCGCCCGGGGGGGGGGGGGGG